TCACAGCATATTTGTTTGGAAACAATCACAGGTGAGCTTTCTTGTAATGGTGAACTTGAACAATATCATGAAGAGCATGAAAAACAGGCTAAGGCTGGGTGTGATGGCTCATACCTATAATCCCAGCACTGTGGGTGGCCCAGGCGGGTGGATCACCTGAGGTCAAGAGCTGGAGACCAGCCTGGCCAACCTGGTGAAACCCAGACTCTACTAAAAACACAAAAATTAGCTGGGTGTGGTGACACATGCCTGTAATCTCAGCTACTCAGGAGACTGAGGCATGAGAATGGCTTCAACCTGGGAGGCAGAGGTTGCAGAAGCTGAGATTGCCCCACTGCACTCCAGCCTGGGCAACAGAGCAAGACTCCATTTCAAAAACAACAACAACAACCACCACAAAAACAGGCCGGGTGCGGTGGCTCACACCTGTAATCCCAGCATTTTGGGAGGCTGAGGCAGGTGGATCACTTCAGGTCAGAAGTTCAAGACCAGCCTGGCCAACGTGGTAAAACTCTGTCTCTTCTAAAAACACACACAAAAAATTAGCCGGGCGTGGTGGGGTATCCCTATAATTCCAGGACTTGGGAGGCTGAGGCAGGAGAAATACTTGAACCCTGGAGGCAGAGGTTGCAGTGAGCTGAGATCACACCACTGCACTCCAGCCTGGGTGACAGAGTGAGACTCCATCTCAGAAAAAAAAAAGAAAAGAAAGAAATCTGTTACAAAAGTTGAAATATGCCATATATTTGAAAATTTAAAACCATGCTTCTAAATGAATCATAGGTGAGAGATTAAACCTGTAAAAGAAAGGACAAATATCTGGAAACAGACGACATTAGTAATACCACGTCCCAAAATATGTGAGATACAGAAAAAACGGTACTTAAGTGGGAAGACTGTCATCTTAATGTTTATTCTGGAAAAAATAAAGACTGAGTAAGCATCTAAAACAACTTTTTAAAAGGGTAATGGAATAAATCCAAAGGTAATGATAGAAGGAGAAGGAGGTGAATGGGGGTGGAAGGAAGACGTTAAATAAAATAGAAAATAAAAATAGAAAAGAGAGGCTCCACAAAGATAAAATCTGGTATGTAGGCTCTTAGCAAATACTGATAACAATTATTTTAAAGCTGGGCACAGTGGTTCATGCCCGTAATACTATCATTTTAGGAGGCTAACTAAGGCTTAGGCCAACCTGGGCAACATGGCGAGATGCCGTATCTACATATAAAAAATAATAATATAACAAAATACATGGCCGGGCGTGGTGGCTCAAGCCTGTAATCCCAGCACTCTGGGAGGCTGAGGCGGGTGGATCACGAGGTCAGGAGATCGAGACCATCCTGGTCAACATGGTGAAACCCCGTCTCTACTAAAAATACAAAAAAATAATAAAAAATTTAGCTGGGCGTGGTGGCACGTGCCTGTAATCCCAGCTACTCAGGAGGCTGAGGCAGGATAATTGCCTGAACTCAGGAGGCGGAGGTTGCGGTGAGCCGAGATCACGCCATTGCACTCCAGCCTGGGTAGCAAGAGCGAAACTCAGTCTCAAAATAAATAAATAAATAAAAATAAAATAAAATACATGTAAGTAATTCCTTTAAAAAACACATCCAATAGTACTGAATGCCATAAAAAAAAGAGAAAAAAAAGAAAAAGGAAAAAAAAACATATCCAGAAAAAAAAGAAAAAAGTATTAAAAAAACAGTATCAGGAGTACATGGGGGAAATATAACATATACAGTAAAAATTAAGGTGAGAGCCGGGCACGGTGACTCATGCCTGTTATCCCAGCACTTTGGAAGGTGGAGATGGGTGGATCACAAGGTCAGGAGTTCAAGACCAGCCTGGCCAAGATGGTGAAACCCCATCTCTACTAAAAATTCGAAAATTAGCCGGGCATGGTGGGTGTGCCTGATTCCAGCTACTCAGGAGGCTGAGGCAAGAGAAACGCTTGAACCCGGGAGGCAGAGGTTGCAGTGAGCTGAGATCACGCCACTGCACTCCAGCCTGGGCAACAGAGTGAGACTTCATCTCAATTAAAAAAAAAAAAAAATTAAGGTGAGAAGATATTATGATTATGGGCAACTTTTTGCCAATGAATTTGAAAATGTAAGATGAAATGGATATATTCCTACAAAAAGATAATCCACTAGGATCGACCCAGAAGTAGACAATAAAAAATGGAATCAGTAGTTTCTAACTGCTTTACACAAACAATTATCATAAAACATTTAAGGAATAGCGATCTTAATTTTATATACATTATTTCAGAAAAAAAGTGCCAACACCCCAAAACTCATAAGTAATGCAAAGTAGATTTAACAGACAAGAAAGGAAAATCATAGACCAATTTCAATGAATACAGACCGTTTCAATAAAAAATCTTAAGTAAAATATTAACAAAACAAATTCAACCATGCATAAAAACATAACATATCATAATCTAGTTGAATTTGTTCCAGGAACACTAACTTGGCTCAATGTAAAAAAATTGATTAATATAATTGACTACATTAATGAATTAAAGGAAGCAGAACAAATATTTAATGATATTCAATAGTAAGTCAAGCTTTAAAAAAAGCTCTTGGCAACATAGGAAAAGGAAAATTGTTTAACCAATAAAGGGTATATTAAAATCATTCTTAACGGGGGACCTTTTGAAGCACTCTCTTTACAATCAGGAACAAGCTGAGGAAGTCCATAACGATGACTCAGTAGAACAGAGGGCATAACTAGCAGAGTTAAGATAAGAAAAAATAAACACAAGGCATGAAGAGTGGGGAAAAAATGCAACTATCATTACTTGCTGGTGATATGACCATCTCTACAGAAAAAACAAAACAGAAATAAAATGACAGTTTAGAGATCAAGTGCTTTTTTTTGAGACAGGGTCTGGTTCTATCACCCAAGCTGAAAAGCAGCAGCAGGACTGTGGCTCACTGCAAACTCTGCTTCCCTGGCCCAAGCAATCCTCTTACCTCGGCCTCTGGAGTAGCTGGGACTGCAGGCATGTGCCGCCATGCCCCACTAATTTTTCTGTATTTTTTGTAGAGACAGGGTCTCACCATGTTGCCCAGGCTGAACTCGAACTCCTGGACTCAAACAATCTGCCCACCTTGGCCTCCCAAAGTACTGGGATTATAGGCGTGAGCCAACATGCCCCACTAAAAATATACATATGTATGTTATTTATATATTTACAGACAGTGTCATTAGCAGGGCATGGTAGGTGTCTGTAGTCCCAGCTACTGGGGAGGCTAAGGCAGGAGGATCACTTGAGCCCTGAAGGCAGAGGTTGCTGTGAGCGAAGATCGCACCACTGCACTCCAGCCTGGGCAACAGAGTGAGACTCTGTCTCAAAAATAAATAAATAAGATAAAGAATAAAAATAAACATAAAAAACAAAATAAAAATAGAGATGGCATCTCATTATCTCTAAAACATATGCAAATATACTTTTTAGCACACACACACACACATATATATATAAATATATAAATATGTATATCTATGAATGATACATACACTGATTTGCCCCATTCAACCTAAAATATTGTTTTAAACTTTGGGCCAATCTAACTTATTTTAATTGAATAACATTTTAAATATTTAACTTTAGCAGCAAATTAATGTATTAAGTAAGTAGTTCCACTTTGAGATCAAATACAGATATTGAGAACACTTCCCCGCCCAAGATGGGGTCTGGCTCTCTTGCCCAGTCTGGCCTTGAACTCCTGGGCTCACGCGATCCTCTCACTTCAGTCTAGGGGTGTGTGCCATAGCACCTGGCAAGAATACGTATTTTAAGATATTAAATAATTTGAGAGGAAGGCATAATAATGCTAACGTATACCTAGTCTTCAAGCAAGGATTTGGCAGAATTGGACAAAGAATAGTTCACACTATTTCCCAGCTCAACTCATCTCTAATCTGCCAAAAGCTCAACAAATCTGTGAAAACTCTGTGCTTTCACCCACATACAGCATGAGGCTGTGAATGCCCAAACAGCCATGGGCAGTCATGAATGAATCCTGTTATGTAAAAGCCTAATTTTGTTTACACTGTATTGATGACTTTTATAAAAAGAAAGTTCAGCTTCTAGGGAAAAAACACATATTGAGCCACAATGAGAAACAGCGTATGCTTTATAACATTTCTAACTGGCAATACAAGTCCATTTACAGAAAAGCTTTTGAGAGGCCTTAAACATCCCAGCCTTCAACTACGACCTCACTGTTATCAACCAGGTGGAATCAATTAGAAGACAGGCAAGCAGGGAAGCCCTTTACGGCTCTAAAGGAACCATTACGAGCAGCCAAGCTCTTCCAGATGGCCCTGTCGTGTCTCCTCCAGCTCTCAAGAAACGGACTTTCTCTTTGAAAAGCCATTAAGAGCCACCACCTTCTGGAACGTTGCTCCCAGATTGCTCGTGGTCTAAGTCTCCACTTTATCACCCTGGTGACTCAACAGATAAATGCCTCAAATCCTAACACTGAAGGGTCCCCACACTTGAGCTTCTGGTCCCCACAGTGGCTGACGCAAAATGAAAACGATCCCCTGTCAAGTGCCTTTTGTGGCTACATCAGAAACAGGAACCTGGGGACAGGCAGTCGGTGATGAACACTCACAGGGGAAATGAAAGACACACTTGAGCTTTCTTTTTTCTTTTCTTTTCTTTTTTTTTTTTTTTTTGAGACAAGATTTCACTCTTGCTGCCCAGGCTGGAGTGCAGTGGCACGATCTTGGCTCACTGTAGCCTCCACCTCCCAGGTTCAAGAGATTCTCCTGTCTCCGCCTCCCGAGTAGCTGGGATTCCAGGTAGCCACCACCACACCCAACTAATTTTTATATTTTTAGTAGAGATGGGGTTTCACCATGTTGGCCAGGATGGTCTTGAACTCCTGACCTCAGGTGACCCACCTGCCTTGGCTTCCCAAAGGGCTGGGATTACAGGCGTGAGCCACCGTGCCCGGCCCACACTTGAGCCTTCACCTCACCTTTTCAACATCTGCTTTTGTGACGTTGATGTCAGCGTCCATTTTCTCAAAGTACTGCTGTGCCCTGTCCGCCTCTTTGCAATCGCGTTCAAATCGCCTTTTACTCTAAAATCAGAGGAAAATCATTATTTATGAAACAATGAGTCCTATGAGAAGACGTAATTTTATCTAAATCCCCCAAAGAGCATTGTTCTTTTTCTTCTCTTTTTTTTTGAGTCTGGGTCTCACTCTGTCACCCAGGCTGGAGTGCAGTGAGTGGCACCATCTCGGCTCACTGCAGCCTCGACCTTCCCCGCTCAGGCGATCCTCCCACCTCAGTCCCACTAGTAGCTGTGACTACAGGCATGCACCACCATAGCCGGCTAACGTTTGTATTTTTTGTAGAGACTAGGTTTTGTCATATCGCCCATACTGGTCTTGAACTTCTGAGCTCAGGCAATCCTCCCACCTTGGCCTCCCAAATTGCTGGGATTACAGGCGTGAGCCAATATGTCCGGCCCAAGAACACTCTTCTCTGAATTGATTTCTTCTATGTCATAATTTCCAGAAGTTATTTTAAAATCTGCATTTATTTCCATCAAAACTGTCTAGTCTTTGTTCTTTTCATGTGACGTTTAGAATACTGAACTTGAGCTCTTTTGGTTCAACTTTAGATAATGGTTCTAGAAACAAATTAAATGAGAAATCTATAAAGATGTTTCATTAGTGTTTTCGTGTGCATGTTTTTCACTTACTGATTGATTCAAGCTTAAATTAAGTTGAAATTAAAAAATCTATAAAGACATTTCTTAGGGCGGGCACAGTGGCTCCTGCCTGTAATCCCAGCATTTTGGGAGGCTGAGGAGGGTGGATGACTTGAGGGCAGGAGTTCAAGACCCGCCTGGCCAACACTGCAAAACCCAATCTCTACCAAAAATGCAAAAATTAGCCAGACGTGGTGGTGTGTGCCTGTAATCTCAGCTACTTGGGAGGCTGAAGCAGGAGAATCACTTGAACCCAGAAGGCAGAGGCTTCAATGAGCCAAGATCACGCCACTGCACTCCAGCCTGGGCAACAGAGCGAGACACTATCTCAAAAAAGAAAAAAAGAAAGAAAATCGATAAAGCCATTCCCTCTTGCCGCGCGTTGTTCACTTACAGATTCGAGCTGCTTCCAGCAACTCTCGATGTGCTGCTGTGCCTTCCGGCCATCGTGGAAGTTCTGCAAAGGGGAAAACACATTAGTACCCTCTGCTGCTCTTATGAGCCCAGGAGAAAACGTGTTCATCCGCTTAAACAGCATTTAAATACTGAACCTCTAGGATGTGTGCTCCAAAGAAATGTAAGAGTTTAAAGGAGTAGCCGGGCACAGTGGCTCACATCTGTAATCCCAGCACTCTGGGAGGCTGAGGCGGGAAAATCACCTGAGCCAAGGAGTTGAAGACAGCTTGGGCAACAACACAGTGAGATGCCCTCTCTACAAAAAATTGAAAAATTAGGTGGATGTGGTGGCACAGACCTATAGTCCCAGCTACTCTGGAGGCAGAGATGGGAAGATCGCCTGAGCCCAGGGATGTTGACACTGCCACAGTGAGTTATGATTGCGCCACGGCACTCCAGCCTGGATGACACAGTGAAACCCTGCCTCAAAAAAAAAAAAAAAAAAAAAAAAAAGGGGAATAAAAAGTTTAATGTGGAAATGAAAACAAGAATAGTCATCACAAATAAAACAAGTTTCACTTGGGGGAAAAAAAAGGAGTCACCGAGTTCCCTTTACAGCTTTAGGTACAATTGTATAAAATTTGAAGATTGGCCAGGCATGGTAGTGCCCAAGCCTATAGTCCCAGTTACTTGGGAGGCTGAGGTGGGAGGATCACTTAAGCCTGGGAGGTGGAGGCTTGCAGTGAGCCAGGATCATGCCACCACACTCCAGACTGAGTGATAGAATGAGACCCCATCTCAAAAACATAAAGTAGGCTGGGCAAGGTGGCTCACACTTGTAATTCCAGGACTTTGGGAGGCCGAGGCAGGCAGATCCGAGGTCAGGTGTTCGAGTCCAGTCTGGCTGACACAGTGAAACCCTGTCTCTACTAGAAATACAAAAATTAGCCGGGCGTGGGGGCACACGCCTATAGTCCCAACTATTCAGGAGTCTGAGGCAGGAGAATTGCTTGAACCCGGGAGGTGGAGGTTGCAGTGAGCCAAGATAGCACCATTGTACTCCCGCTCTGGAAGACAGTGCAAGCTTTTTTCTCAGAAACAAAAAACAAAACAAAACAAATAAAATAAAATTTGAAGACATATATGCCACTTGGGAAAACGACAGGAATGTTTTATTAAGATAGCAATCGCTCCGATCATCTTTTTTAACTGCTTTGAGATGTGATTCAAATATTATGAGTTACTCATTTAAACTGAGCAATTCAATGGTTTTCAGCGGTCACAAAACTGTACAACCATCACCATAACCAATTTTAGAATATTTTCATTACCCCTAAAAGAAACTTGTACCTCCTAGCCATTACCCTCCACCTTCTTCAGCCCGAGGTGGTCTGTTTCTGTCTCTGGATTTGTTTATTCTGGATGTTTCCTATAAATGGAAATGCAGTCGGAGGCTTCTGGTGACTGGGATGTGTCCATTATCTCCTAATGTCCACTTAGCATGATTTCAGGCTCCACACTGTCATGTGTATCAGTACTTCATTCCTTTTTATTGCCAAATAATTATTCCATTATGTGGCTATCCCACATTTTGTTTATCCATTCAACAACTGATAGACATTTGGGTTGTTTCCAGGTGTGGGCTATCGTGAAAAATGCTACTGGGCACCATGGCTCATGCCTGTAATCCCAGCACTTTGGGAAGCTGAGGCGGGTGGATCATGAGGTTAGGAGTTTGAGACCAGCCTGGCCAAAATGGTGAAACCTCGTCTCTACTAAAAATAAAAAAATTAGGCCGGGCGCAGTGGCTCACGCCTGTAATCCCAGCACTTTGGGAGGCCGAGGCGGGTGGATCACGAGGTCAAGAGATTGAGACCATCCTGGTCAACATGGTGAAACCCCATCTCTACTAAAAATACTAAAAACTAGCTGGGCGTGGTGGCGCGTGCCTGTAATCCCAGCTACTCAGGAGGCTGAGGCAGGAGAATTGCCTGAACCCAGGAGGCGGAGGTTGCGGTGAGCCAAGACCGCGCCATTGCACTCCAGCCTGGGTAACGAGTGAAACTCTGTCTAAAAAAAAAAAAAGAAAGAAAAAAAAGAAAAAAATTAGCCAGATGTGGTGGCAAGCACCTGTAATCCCAGCTACTCCAGAGGCTGAGGCAGGAGAACTGCTTAAAACCTGGGGGGCAGGTTGCAGTGAGCCGAGCTTATGCCACCACACCCCAGCCTGGGTGACAGAACAAGACCCCACTTCGAAGAAAAAAAAAAGAAAAATGCTGCTACAAACACTTGAATAAGAGTTTTGTGTGTTTTGTGTGCATGGCTGTTTTCAATATTGGATTATTTTCAATCCGAAGATAAATTTCCCTCCTTGCCATCTGCAAAGGCCCTGCGGCAGGCTCTGGTGTGGTGTTATCTGGGAGCTAGATCTGGAGGAGCCTTGGGCAGAATACATCACGTGAGGTCAGAGAAGAAAGAGGGAGTTGCACAGGGTCTTGTAGGCTTTTTTGTCTGAATGAACTGGAGTCGATGAGTATCTCTAAGCACAGATGTTGTGAAGGGAAGATTTCAGATGGTAGGAGGCTGTTGTCACAATCCTGGAGTGACTGCAACGTGGACAGGTCATATGTAGCGAGCAGTGCAGGTCGTGAGAGGGGTCAGGTTCTGGGCACCCTTTGATCACCCAAACCTCCAGGATTTTCTGGGAGATGGGATCAGATGTGCAATAATGAGCAGCCCAGAGTGACTCCAAAATTGTCAGTCTGAGCTTTAGGAGAAGGAAGACAGAGAATTGGGTCTGAGGAAGGAAGATCATACACGTAGTTTCAGATGTGTTAAGGCTGATATTTCCTTGAGACTCCCAAGTAGAGAGACTAGCTGGATGCGGTGGCTCGTTCCTGTAATCCCAGCACTTTGGGAGGCTGAGGTGGGCAGACCACCAAAGGTCAGGAGTTTGAGACAAGCCTGGCCAACATGGAGAAACCCCATTTCCACTAAAAATACAAAAATTAGCCAGGCGTGGTGACGCATCTCTGTAATGCCAGCTACTGGGGAGGCTGAGGCAGGAGAATCGCTTGAACCGGGAGCCAGAGGTTATGGTGAGCCGAGATGGTGCCACTGCACTCCAGCCTGGGTGACAGATATTCCACCTCAAGAAAAAAAAAAAAAAAGGCTGGGTGCAAGCACGGTGGCTCACACCTGTAATCTCAGCACCTTAGGAGGCTAAGGCAGGTGAATCATGAGGTCAGGAGTTTGAGACCAGCCTGACCAAAATGTTGAAACACCATCTCTACTAAAAATACAAAAATTAGCTGGGCATGATGGTGTGTGCCTATAATCCCAGCTACTCAGGAGGCTGAGGCAGGAATCACTTGAACCCAGGAAGCAGAGGTTGCAGTGAGCTGAGATCACACCAGCGCACTCCAGCCTGGGTGACAGAGGGAGACTCTGCCTCAAAACAACAACAACAACAACAACAACAACAACAACAACAACAAAAACCCCAAAAACAAACAAACAAACAAACAACAACAAAAAAAATGAGAAAAAAAAAGAAAGAGAGAGACACTAATATATACTTGGACTCACGGGTCTGAGCTCAGGGAGTGGTCTGCACTAAACACCAGTTTGGGAGTCTTTCACATAAACTGGGTAGTTAAAGCCAAGAGACCAAAGAAAACAAAGATGCCAAGGAAGGAAATGCTAGAAATATGCAGAAATGTTAAGAGAACGGTGTCCTTTTTCGTTCAGTGACCTAAAATCACCAGTTCCCTAAATCCTTTCTGTTTTTTATTTTCTGAGACGGAGTCTTGCTCTGTTGCCCAGGCTGGAGGGCAGTGGTGTGACCTCAGCATACTGTGACCTCCGCCTTCCCGCAACCTCTGTCTCCTGGATTCAAGTGATTCTCCTGCCTCATCCTCCCTAGTAGCTGGGATTACAGGCACAAGCCAACGTGCCCAGCTAATTTTTTTGTATTTTTAGTAGAGACGGCGTTTCACCATGTTGGCTAGGCTGATCTCGAACTCCTGGCCTGAAGTGATCCGCCCGACTTGGACACCAAAAGTGCTGGGATGACAGGCGTGCGCCACACACCCAGCCCCTAAATCCTTTAATATCCTTCCACTGCACCATCGCTGACTCGGTCAATGTCCTGCGAATTTCCCAGGTGCATTCTCCACCCTGTTCTGCATCCCCAGAGGCTCCCATGCAGGGATCTCATGAACCCTTGCCTTGTGGTTCTGATGAGATTTGCCACAAGGAGATTCTGGGTGACCAGAGGGCAGCAAATTGTACCTGCAGCTTCTCCTTGCTGAGATGATACAGGTTGGCTGGGTCTTTGAACCAAAGGGCACGGCTCTAGTCAGGTGGTGACCTGCATGCAGCTAATCTTTGAAGTTCCTAATCTATGAAATTCCTGGAAGGCTTCCTCAGCCCTGTGAGGCCTGGGGGGGGTCACGGCAGGTCCCTACTCTGACTAGCTCCAGGGTGCTGCACCATCCTTACTGCTTTTCCCAAGCCCCGTCCGCCCCGTTGTAAATGCTCCTTTTAATAACCAACCTTCCGTCACTTACTGGGTTTGAATGTGCTGTTTTCTGGCTCACAAGGTTAAGCATTGGTGTTAGGGGCACAGTATGGAGAAGGTCAGGTGAAGGAAGGATAGAAACAAAGAGGTCCCCTAGGTACAACCTCAGAGCTTTTCCCGTACCTCGGCAGAACCTAGGACTTAGCAGAGTCAGAAAAGATCGCGGACAACTGGAAGGCTGGGAAGGCAGAGACGCAGAGACAACATCAGATTTAGAACAGTGCTTCTTTATAAGGGAATGTTTTCTCGTCTCTCTTTTGAGGTCGAGTTTCACTGTTTTAAGCGCCTCTTTGCAGTCAATCTATCCAGCAATTTTCTGGTCTCTGCAAACCCAGGGGTCGTCCCCTGGAGCTTCGTTTTTCAACTCTTGTAATGGACACAGGGATAGAACAGAAAAGAAGGAACCCAGGCTGTGGAAGAATTAAGAAGTAGAGCTGAGGGCAGGGTTATGGAAACTCTAGACGTTGGAAGGGAACATG